ATTAAAAAGGAACATTTAGTTAAAAAATGTATAATCTGTTCAGCTACCGAAATGGTGTGTCTTGTTAAAAATTTTCGTTTCCTTGTTGGAGATTTGATTTCTGAAAATGATAAAATTTGGGACTTTTATCTTACTTTATTAGAACTAACGGATATTTTGTCCTCTTCAGAAATTTCCATATCCGCCATTCCCTATTTAAAAAATTTAATTGCAGAACATCACGAGTTATATTTAACCTTATTTAATGTAACTCTTAAACCCAAACATCATTTTTTGGTTCATTATCCTGAACTTTACTTAAAACTTGGCCCATTATCTTCTATATCTTGCATGCGTTTTGAGGCCAAACATAGAGATCTAAAGAAACATTCAAACAACGTTCAAAGTAGAAAAAATTTACCTTTTACCCTTTGTAAAAAAAATCAATTATTTTTTTCATACAGATGCCATTCAAAAATAGGTTTGGATAATTTAATAAAGTTTGGAAAAATAACTAAGCAAAACTTTATTTCCTCCATTTCTTTTGATAATTTGCCTGAACCTATTAAAATGAATGATTTTTATGAGGTAAACTGGTTTGAGAAAAATGGTATCCGTTATCAAAAATTTGATATTATTTTGTATGAAATAACTGATAACATGCCAATATTTTTAAAAATTTTACACATATTAATAGCACATAAAACTAAAACGTGTTACTTTGCATGTCAGTTATTAACAACTTTTCATTTTGATCCGCATTTTAGAGCCTACGTTGTCGGTTTTGAGGATAAGTATAAATTTTTTTCCACAGATATTTTTAATCACAATATTCCTACCATTATTCATAGAGTCAATGAAAAACGTTATGTTTCAATATCAAAAATGAATATGGTTTAATTTAATTCAGGTCTATAGATATACAGTATTCTTAAATATATATTTAGAAAAATATTTTAAATTTTGAAAGAAAAATTATTTGCGTTTTTAGTATACTGTATATGTTTTATTTTAAACAGACACAAACATATTTTAAGTACTATCATTGTTTTATAAAAATAATGGTAGTATTATTTTAGTATTATTATTATTAAGATTTAGTATTATTAGTATTAAGATACCGTATTGTTTATTTTTGTTTAATTTCAAATTAGAAGGTTTATTTTATTTTTTTATTATTTATTTTATATGCGAATGTTTATTTTTTGTTATTTTAGGATTAGTTTTATTAGTTTTGTACATTTATATTATTTGTAAAAAAATAATTATAATTAAATAAATTTGGATATTTAATTATTTAATATATTATTTCTTTATTTTTAAAAATAAAACATACCTACTTAGTGGAGTTCTTGAACAATTTAAATCATGGTAATATATTCAAGCTAAAGGAATTTAAAGCTGTTATCTACTGTAGGCAAAAATGTAATGTTTTTAAATTAATTCTGCAAAAAAGGATTAACTAATTAAAATGCTTATTTTAACTAATATAATATTACTATATATATATGTAAGTGTATTCTTACTTAAATTAACTTGTTACATTATTTTAAACTACATTATGTATGTACATTTTGTGTGAAAATAAACATTTTAATTTAAATAAAGCCTATATAAAAGGATTTATTAAAAATATTACATTTTTGCTTTAAATCTAAATTTGACCTTAAAGTAAGTATAAAAATTATTTAAATTAAACACATCGTTGCCTTGATATGAAAGCATGAATTTCTTTGAACAAAAATATTATACATTTAAATCAACTATATTGTAAATTTTAACGAAAAAACATTATTTTTGCGTCAAAATTAATATATTTTTATATTAAATATATCGTAGTTTCCTATAAAAATATCCAATACTTAAGACAAAGGCATTATATATTTATATGAAAGCATGAATTTTTTCGAACAAAAATATTATACATTTAAATCAACCATATGTTAAATTTTAACCAAAAAACATTATGTTTGCCTCAAATTTAATATATTTTTAAATTAAATATATCGTAGTTTTCTATAAAAATATCCAATACTTACGACAAAGGCATTATATATTTACATAAAGAAGCCCAACTTTTCCATTTAAGAATATATTAGTTTTAAACTAAGTCATAACATGCATTTAATTTAAAGCGCGCATTTACTTTTTCTAAGATTATGATATATTTAAATTACAAATAAAAAATTATCTTGAGTCTAATAGATGATTTATTTGTGGCTATTTAAAACAATGAACGCTTTGGTTTAAACCTACAGTATTTGACTGAAAGCATCTTTTTTTACTGTGCAGTGGGAGAAAAAGGATGTACACTTTGCACAAAATGCACTAGTGTGTTACACTAATGGCTCTCGTATGGCGAGTACACTGTCTTCAGGGGCAGGGTTCTGCGTGGAGGACAGGGATATCCAAAGGAGCTACCCGCTCGGAGGATATACCACTGTCTTTCAAGCGGAAGTGTTTGCCATACTTGAGGTTGCAAACTGTGAGGATATAAGAACAGGGAGCGAGACAGATATATACATCTGCTCAGATAGCCAAGCAGCTCTGAAAGCGCTTTGGGCAGCGAGAACCACATCGAAGTTGGTTCAAGAGTGTGAGGAAGCGCTGGAAAAGCTAGCAAGCACAAAAAGAGTGCATCTCGTATGGGTACCAGGTCATAGTGGGGTTGAAGGTAACGAACCGGCTGATGAGTTGGCCAGATTGGGATCTGAAACCCCCTGTGTAGGACCCGAACCAATTTTTGGAATTACGAGAAAGCAGGTCAAATCAGCCCTAAATAATTGGGCTGATAAAAGGGCGAACGAAAGCTGGAGAAGAAGCGGTGGCTGTAGGCAGACCAGGGATTTCCTGGTCACCCTAAGCAAACCCAAATCCATCTGGCTTCTAGGTAGGAGCCGAACCTCCTTGGGCCCACTTGTGAACATACTCACGGGTCATGGCCTAAGGAAACACCTCACGAGAATAGGGGCTGAAACCAGCTCCTCCTGTACCCAGTGCGGAAGGGAGGATGAAACCTCCTTTCACTTCCTGGGACAATGTGAGGCCCTCGGCAGACTAAGGTATAAAATCTTTGGAGTGATGACACTCCAAAGGGAAGAGTTGGCCTCTCTTGCCTGGCAGGATATCCTGACCTTTATAAGAAGGTCTGGAAGATTCGAAAGGGCTGGTATGGGCGAAGAGAAAGATGAGGAGTAGTTTGGTTGGTTTAGGAGGGGCAGATAAAAAGGACCATGGAGTCTAATTGTCAGGCATCGAGCCTACCCAACCGTACTACTACTACTACTACTACTGGAACTAGAATAACGCGTTACCAGTTATTTTGTATGTAGCAGTTAAGAGTTCTTATAACTTATACCGTTGCATCGTTCCGTTGTACAACATCGTTATTAATAACGATGTTGTTATTAATAACAATGTTGTTATACAATGTACGATGGAACGGTATAAGTTATGCCGTTCCATCGTTATAATATATTAATAACGATGTTCTACAACGGAACGATAGAACGGTATAAGTTACCTAACTTAATTATTAAATATTAATTAACGGTATTAGTTAACTTAATTATGTCCATTGTACAACATCGTATACCTTTTAACAATAATGTAATAACTTCAAATTGTATCTATAAAGTCTTTTGCCTTAGTCACTTTGTTATTGACTGGATTTAGATTGAAATATAACGAGGCACATACTAATATGCTATATGTTTTGAGACAAATAGGTACTACAAGAAAACTAAATCTGAACTCTGAGGGTTATGTATTAACTAATTAAAAAAAACTAATTTGTTATGTCTATCTCAAGCTTTATTACTTTTCACGGAATTCACCCACAAACAAACACACTTTTGCCACCATTTGGGTGTAATTTGGCTGTTATTTTAGATAAACTGTAACAGTTTAAGAAATATATGTCATTCCACATTAAAAAGTGATATACATATATACAGAACGGTTATATTCCGCAATAGGAGTAGAAAAAATATAATATTTACCAGGTAAATTTTACCTACTTAATTGTCGGTAGAATTAAACACAATTTCTTTAGTATTATATAATAAAAATATTCTAATAATATAAATAATAAATAATAACATAAATTAACTAGTAATAACTAATAAGAAACTTATTAAGAAATTCTAAATTCGTTGTAGCAGCAGGAACGGGAAAGATAACAAATAACGCAAAAAAACTATACTAATAATTATTATAATCATACATATTATAATATAATAATATTATATTATATAATCCTAAATAAACTTGTTCATGTGAAGGTAACGTTACTGATAACGTTATTTTGGAACGTTATTACATTGGAACGATAACGAGTAACGCGTCCATAAAAAATACTCGTAATTCCCAGCTCTAAATTTGACTAAGTGCGTATAGTTAGTTGCTGCTTTTTCTTACGAGTATCAAAAGTCGGGCCACCACATACGTTTGAAAAAAATTTTAAACGGATGATTATACCAAATAACTGGATTTTTCCAAAACGTCTCTATTCAATGCAGGTATTGAAATATTTGTCAAATTGTATATTATAATGGGATTACATTTTTAAATGTCTATATAGTTATTATTATTGTTATTAATATTATAATTTAAATAGTAATATAATTTATTTTTTAGGTCATATTAATTAAAAAATTGTATGTTCTGATTATTAATTTTTTGCACTTAATTTATAATTAACAGAGATATCTGTCCATTTTTGCAAACATATTCAAGGAAAAGTTGTACAAGCATGCTAAAAAATATAAAATATAAATTTTATTAAATTATGTATTAATAATTATTTTTTATCATGAAATACCTTATACAGATTAATAATTATTATTACAGAATCCGTAAAAATAAAATTAAATACTAATAATTCCTAGTGTAAAAATAGTCATTTAAAATAAATAATATTTCCTAAAACAACCCCAACAGCATTACATTACAATTCAACTCCGTACAATAGATGCACACGTGTCCTATTCAATATTTTCGTCGCAGTACGCCGCTGCCTTTCTAACCCTAGTGTTTCTCCATGGGGTCGCATCTGTCAATTTTTCCATTCTAGTTAAACTATCAACTGTGTGCCTGTAAACGGCTTGGATTTATTTAGTTTTGCATAGCAATATTTAATATTAATAGTGAAAGTTTTAGTAACATTACTTTGGAAGCAATATTGTGTGCGCAAGTCTATCATCTATTTAATATATACAACATTGGATAAATGAAATAAAGGTAATTGTTTTATAATTTGTTTTATAGTTTATTTTATAATATAAATTTTTTTCTATTTCATATTTTTATATACATTTCTTATTATAAATATAATAAAATATAATACATCATAAATTATAATTTATATAAAAATTGTTATTATCACTTCAAATAAATTGTTTTTTTTTGTGAAATATTTAATTTAACTGAGTTAAACAATGCTTTTTAAAATTCGTAAAGATGAGAGTATAAATCTTTTTTTATTTATATTTAATTTTTTTATCATGGTTAAAATGTAATAATTAATTAAATTAATTAAAAAAATCCATAAAAAAGGTGTGGGAATACAAAAATAAAAATTTTTGGGAGAAAAATAATACTAATAATCGTCAACATTTATAATATAATTTTATTATTTTATATATTCATTGCGCATCAACAACATACAGGGCCGTAGCCACTGGTTGGCGAAAGGGTCTGCCGTCAAGGGCGCAGTCACAGGGGCGCAAACATTTTTTTAATATTTAAATACGTTTGTGCTGTAAAAATTATTATTTGCAAGTTGTTAGTTATTAGTTCCCTGGCGAAAATGAAATGTGCAAAAAGTGTGCAAAATTATTTGAGAACAATGTGCATTCTTTTAAAAAAATGATGTGCGGAGGGTGGGAAATGGAACATGAAACAATGTGCAAAACCAAAAATTTAAAAGTGTGAATAATCACTGGACAATGTTCTAAAGGGAACTCCTTTTGATTTTTCATATTGTTTTCACACTGTTTCTTGCCACCTGTGTGTCTATTACAAAAACAGAAGTCTATTAAATTTACACATAATTAAAATATAAATGGGCGTTTCTCTGTAAACTGGGCAACTCATTGTCACAAGCTAATATTGTTTAGAAAAATAACAGATCATAAATATTTCGTAGATAACTTCAAAAGATAATAACCTAATCTACCTATGCTCGACGTTTAAAATCCAATAAAATAAACTTTAATGTATCAAAATCGTTTTTATAGTCCTTAAAAACCAGTCCCCTGACGTGTCACCAAAGCAAAATGGTCACTTCAGACTAAATTAATTAAAGTAACTATTGGAATCAACCTAATTGTTTAATTATTCAACCAATATTGTTTGCTTGTTACTGTGACTTATTTATTTTTTATAATTATTATTTTGTAATTCTAAAAAAGTAATCTAAACTTTGTCTTCGGATTTTATAAACAGTCCCCTGTATAGATTTTTCAGAAAATGCTCAATGTTTTCCAAAGTAATAGGAATATTTTTGGTTCATCTGCCGTATACTAATAAATAGACCGATATTTATTCCTCGAATAACATTTATTAAATACAACAAAAATATACTTAACAAAAAAACTTGCCTAGACAATTTCTTACTTCAAGTTGCCCAGTTTACAGAGAAACGCCCAAATATCCTTATAATAAGGATAATATTAATCAAATAAATATTTTTTTCAAAAAAAAATAAAAAAAAATACCCACAATGTAGGTCCTACATACTGTATTTTATTAAGAAAAATACCTGAACTGTCAACTCCACGAAGGGGATTGCTTTGATCTTAGCAATAGGCCGAGAATCAATACATAAGCAAAGATTAAATATACTCTTTCTAGTATATTTAATCTTTGACATAAGATGGAATCTACCTCACCTTTTAAATAAATGTTGTACCCCAACTCAAGCGAGATATATCTAAAATGTGCTTAAACTGTTGAGTGATCGCTAAAACTGTACAAACAATGTGCTATAAAAAGGTGTAATATAAGTGTCATAAATGAGAAATATTAAAGCGTGCTAGCAGTGTGTATAAAATGTAACATGCGTAAGATAGACTAAAGCTTTGCAAAATGTCTTTAGGCAATGTACTAACACTGTGCAAACAATGTGCTAAAATATAATGTAATATAAGCGTGACATATGACAAATAAAAAGCGTGATGTCAATGTACCTACATAAAGAGTGAAAAAACTTAATTATTTCAAAAAGTGTGAAACTACCACAAAGTAGCGTGTATGCACATTGTTATAAAGACTTGCACTCCAAATAAACACTTATTGCACACTTTTCATGCACGCTTTATTTTCGCCAGGGTTGCTGTAACTATAAAATCTATACTATTAAAAGCTATAAAAGCTACTATGTTTTATGTTTAATATACAGAGTGGTCCAGTTTTTAATCGGATTCAATTCAGAAAACATATATGTCAACCGCTTATTAACGAAGATATAGACCGTAAAGTTGAACAGGTGACACATGTGTCTGGATACTGCAGCGCTCTGTTGAAATGCATTTCAAACATTTGGCATGAACTTTTTGAAGACAAACCTATTTGCTTAATTTTTCATTAGCTTAATTTCATTTTCAATTAATAACATTTTTTCAAAGTTTTAAACCCAAATATTTGGAAAACAAAGCCTCAAAATTTTTTCTCCCAAATTAAACGTAGAATTTAAGCATATGATCATTTAAAAAAAAAACCAGAATGGTAAAAAATATGGAAGAAAAAAGGGAGGATCTAGGCTCCTTATACATGTGATAAAACGCGTCATTATTGTTCGATAGATACTTAACTTTAATAAACTTTGGTTAATTTAAACAAAATCGGTTTAATGGTTCAAAAGTTTCGAGAAAAAAGTATTTTTTGTTTCAATTTTGACGGCCTATATATCCGTTATTATGCGTTTGGATTAAATCATCTTATTTTTTGGAGCTCTAACGATCCCAAATCGGCGGCAAAAAACGAGTGTTTCTTAGATTTGCTTCAAATTTTAAGGCTCTATAATGAAACCAAAGAAATAAAAAATCTAAAATTTCAGCACTTTTTGCGGATTTTACATTATAAACAATGGAAAGTAGTGAGTGTTTTTGTTTTAGAATGTTTCCGAAATTAAACAGTGGGAAATTTTGAAAAAATTCACACATAGTTTTTTTCAAGCTGCCTTCTGACAAAAAATTTGAAAATAAGTAAAATTAAAAAACAATAATTTTTTATTAAAATTATTTTAATACAAGAAATAACAAACATTTGTATGTTCCCTCAAGAAATTGGATATAAAAGTTAACTCGCCAGAGTACCTAGGTTTAAAAACAGTTAATAAATTTCCAACTTTTATAAAGGAATCTAAAAACATATTTTTAAAAACAAAATGACCATCTGAATTTTTAAACCAGTAATTTGAATTATGTATATATTTTTTAAGTTTTACCTATGTATTTTATTTTAGTTTAGCCCTTAAGTTAGTTTTAAGTTTTTTATTGTGCTATTTACCGACCATTCCTATACAAATACTGTTTGTCAAATTGGGGAAATAAAGATTATTGTTATTATTATTATTATTATTATTATTATTATAAATTTAATAACAAATTTTGAATAAGGTATTTGTGAATTCTAAAACAAAGAAACTTAATACTTTTTATTGTTTAAATTGTCAAATCCTCAAAAATAGATAAAAAGTGCGAAAATTTTAGATTTTTTCATTTTTAGGGTTTTACTATACACGGAGAGAAAAGTATAATACTGATTACCATAATTATAATACCCTTTACTATATTATATATTACTATTTGGGACAACTATCTTGTATATTGCCAGTTACTATGCATATTTAGTAATTTTTAAATATCCATGTATATTAAACCTTAAGGTTATTATTCTCAACCAATTTTGTTTTTAATTCTTATTATAATTAGATAGTAAATTTTAAAAATAAATATAATAGATACGTAACCCATAACAAACTAAATAGTGTATTTTATTATTTTGTATAATACATTTAATTAAATCATATAGTAAATATTACTATTTGTAGATAGTAAAATCAATTTACTATACGAATATATTTAAAATTAAAATACGTATTATACATTTTTGATCTAATAATATTGGTGTTGTAATCTTTACTAAAATTGTATAATAAAAAATACTATTTCGTATTACAATCTTTATATTTTACTGACGAATATTTAATATTGTTAAACTAAACATTTTTTAAAGTAAATTTTAATATATTTTTTTAACTATCTAAAATTTACTATACATTTCTCTCCGTGTAGACCCTCAAAATCATGTATCCTTTTATGTATGGGTGTCTATTTTATTTAAAGAGCTACAAGGTCGGTTAAATTAAACTAAAGGTGCTTAATTACAATTCTATTAAAATGGCATTTAAAAATTACATAAAAAATCTCATATAATTAAAAAAAAAAATAAAAACCTGTCAAAACCGTTATTTCTGGAATTTTAAAAAAAGTATGTTACATTTATCTAGATTTTCATCAAATTTGTGATTTTGTTTTGCCAGCTGGGTTTTGAGATACCACCACCAAATTTTTTGTTTTTACTATGGCCGCCATATTGTAATTTCACATGGTTAAAAATCAAGGAATCCAACGATTTATTAAAATACAAGTTAGGGCGGCTATTTAAAAAACAAAAGATGGTGATGGTAACCCAAAATATAGTAGCGAAGAAATTGAATGAAAATGTAGATTTATTAGAATATAATCATACACATTCACGGATACTTGGTATTTAAAACAATGTTTTTTTCATATTTACTCCGACTAAGTTTATTCAAAAATAGAATTTCACTAAAAATTTTATCGATTTTAATCTTTTGGATAAAAAACTTTTCAAATTCTTCATATGTGAAAATCGCATTACTTTATGATAGAGGTCTGAAATTTTTAGAAAATCTTCATATATTTAGGAAATTTAGAAAAATCAAATAAAAAAAATTATTTTCGAAAAAAAAATTGTGTGTTGTTTTTGTTTACAACAAAAACACTTTTGTTTATAACAAAAAGGCGCCCGCTATTTTAAACATAGTTTAGCCTCTTAATTTTATCTAAATTGTCTTAAAATAAATCTCAATAATTCAATTCTTGAAATTTATTTAAACTCCAAATTAAATAAATCACATTACACGTTAAGGAGAAAACGTGCATGTTTTAATGTTTGTAGTTTTTAGTGTGGACATTTTTATCAAAAAATACATTTTATTGACATTCATTAAAACAATAACTGATTGTTTATATAAAGGGTGCCCCAAAATTAGCCCGCCAAAAAACAAATTCTAAAACCGGAAATATTAAGAAAACTTCATAAAACCATAGGCCAAAAACCCTTGGTGATAAATTTGTAGTACTGAGGATGGTTTTTGAAATGTCCAAGGATAATTAATTTAGACTTTGTACTACTAAATTTTTTGTTCTTAGAAAGTTACTCTTAGCGATATAAAACGGCAGGCAGGTAAATAAAAATCCATAACAGAAAGGTGTGGCGTGCCGCCCCCTCATTTGTTTTAAAAAATATTAAAAAAATGCATGCCAAATTTTAGTGTCCTATCTTATTTCCTTCAAATGTCTGTAACAACGAGAAATTTGCCAGAGAGGATTTTTGCCTTTAAAGATTTATTTTTTTTAAATTACTAATAATCTATAAAAAAAGTATAATTTTTTGAAAAAATGTGGAGGATAAGTTACTTTTAAACAAAAAAACAAAAGAAATCATGTATTTTTATCCTAGGGTCTTTTTTACTTCGCTCGATTATTACTAACAGTTTTCCTTATAGGAGATTTTTTATTTATAACGTAATATTTTAATTTAATTAATAAAAAATCTAATTTTTTAAGGAACCAAAATGGAAATAAGGTACTTTAAAATAAAAAAATAATTTATGTATGTCTTTTTTACTTAGCTCAATTATTACTTTTATTGTTATTTCATTAAAAATGGCATAAAGTAACTAAGTTACATCCACATTCAATTGGGGTTCATGAAAGGGGCTTATCTTGCTGCATGAGGTACTTAATCTTCTGCGTCCGTGTCTCTGCTAAAAATTACTGTGGTGAAAATTTGGAAATTGCTGTACCCGATTAGTTTGCCCCACTGTGCAAAATCCGTCCACAACGAGTTGTTCGTGTTGTTGTATGCAAACGCTTCTTTGTTAAAAAAAATGGGTGCCCCCAAATATGTTTTTAAAAAGGGGCAATTAACGTTAAGCGGTCAACACATAAATTAAAGTGTGTTGTTTAAATTTGGGTATGTAATACTTTTAAGTGTCCTAAGCACTGACCTCATTTTTTTTTATTTCGAATCCTGGGGGCCACGCTACGAGTTTTTGAAATGTTGCTTAAAGAGAGCGGATTTTGTATATTAAAACATAAAAAACTTCAAAAACTCGAGAGAGCGGGCCCCAGGCTTCGAAATTTAAAAAAAAAAGATCAATGCTTAGGTCATAATATGTATAATATACTTAAATTTAAACAAAATCTAAAGGCTTTGATTTGTTTGCTGTCCGATTAAAGTTAAATGTCCCATTTTTTAAAAGATGCTTGGTTTAGTAACATATATAACATATATAACTATTAAATTTATATTAATATTAATTAACGAAACCCTAAAATATTAAACGACACATCACTATCTTCCTCTGTTGTGACTTTTTATCTCTAAAACACGAACCCTTATAAAAACACATGTAGAGCATTTGGTTTCTTTTAAAATATTGAAATACCAACCAACAACTGACCTGTTAATCAATTATTCAGAAAGTTGTTATTTGGTATTTTTTTTTAAATTAGAATAAGGGACAGCTGTCCCACCTTAGATACGCCCATAGTAAAGTCCAAATTTTTATTTATGGCAACTTTGCGTTAAAATTAGATTTTCTGGTTAATTATAAGCAGAACGGGTAAAAGTTTGTTCAAATAGGGATATTTTCTGTTATCAGTAAAAAATGCCTCAAATATTTATATATAATTTTTTTTAGAAAAAAATAACATTTAACAAATTTTTATTCTACCGATGAAGTCCTTCGAGTGCGAATCATCTTCCGAAGAAGAATCTACCTTACATGCTATTTCGAAGGGAATTGTTCAATCATCACAATGGTTAAGAAATCATTCGTCTTCTGGGTGGGGATGGCAAAGTAGTGTTAGTAAATATTTTATTAATAATATGATACTTTCTTGTACAATTAAGAGTTACATTTTATAGGGCGGATCAGCAGCACATGCAACAAGCTCCTCAGCATTAGAACAACCTAGTAATTTTGGTGGCTTTAATTCATCCACAGAAGAAACCCAAACACCAGGCAGGCGAACTCCTCTTGGAGCAGTGGGACTTGGCGGATTTTATTTTCAAGGCTGCTCTCCAAATCTAGCAACTCATGGTCCTCCTTCAGATGAAAATAACCCACACCCTGGATGTTCAACACAGTTAAATATTAGGTAAATAATTCCTTAAAACTTGTAATTTTTTATTTGATTTTGAGATAAAAAAAATATTTTTTAATTTCGTTGTTTCCATAATTAAAAAAATACTCCGGAATCCCATTAAAGCTTTGAGGGAACTTATAAGATTCATTCATAGCAGTACTGGGGAAATCCTATACAGTCCCATAAGGACTTCCATTGCCTACTATTAAACAGTAAGGATCTTTACTAGTCTGGTTAACTAAGTTATTCTGCATACCGATAGTCTTCAAGCATCGATATATTGATACAGTTAGTTTACTTTTAAAGACGAATCAGTTACTTTTAACGTAAAAATACAGTATCCTATTATAAAGACTGACTACCTATTTATTGATAAAAGTATGTGCATGTGTTGGGGAATTGACGCTTGCTAATAGGCAGTGTCGTAATTAAAAAATAACTTTGTATTTAACACCTGGAAATTTGTAAACTTTCTAACCGGCTATGGTTAATCATGCACCAAATATTCATTATTTTTTATAAAATAAAAATTAAATAAGATTTAAAACAAATCCAGATAAACACTTTTGCATGTGATATAAATTAATAACAAACAAAAAGGAAACTGCCCTCGGTGACGTAGCACAATGGATACATCGAGTTGATGCTGTTCAAGTAACTTATGGTGTCTGAGATACACAAATGCAACTAATTGCTATGGAAAAACTCAAAGAATAAGCTCACCAATGGTACATTTCAAGAAAAGAGTACATACATTACATTACGATGGATTTGAATGACCTTAAAATTGAGATGCTAAAAATGTTCGAGAGCAGACCAAGCAAAGTGATGCTCACACGCACAATGGAATCCCGGAAGTGGAAAAAAAGTTCTCAAGCTACTTCTCTGATAAAGTAAATGTATATGATAAGATAGGACTATCAGATGAAGAAATAATTGATTATGTGATTGATGGATGCAACGATTCAACGTTACAGTTGCAGGCCCGTATGAACAGTTTTAATACACTACCTGATTTGTTAGCAACCATGAAAAATGCCACCGAAGAGGATCGAGATGGTACAATTTCTACTCGTAGCAGCAGTAGACCCCAGCAAAGCATAAAATTCCAACACAGGTGTTACAATTTTAATATAATTGGACATAGGGCAACTAAATGCAGGAAACCAAAACGCAAGCCAGGTTGCTGTTTCGAATGTGGATCAAAAGAGCACAGAGTTCGAGATTGTCCAAAGAAAAAGCCAACGCCACAACAGTCTACAGCTGATTCCACCACACATAGTTACCGACTGTATTGTATTGTATTGTATTTTAAAAATTCAGATAAGTACCTCATTTTAAACTCCTTTTTGGATTTAGGCAGTCCGGTTTTTAAAGTCAAACTGTGTTGATAGTAAAATTGAACCTGTTGATAAAAGCGGTAATTTTTCGGGTATGAATAATAGTAAAATTGCAATCTTAGGTTTGGTCAATGCTGTCACAGAGATTGACAAAGTAATTTTGAATATTCTTTTTTATGTAATACTAAAAAATTTAATGTCAGATGATTGCCTAAGTGGTAGATATTTTCTTTGTCAGGAGAGCCAGATAATTTAAGTCCTAAAATAGTATATTTGATAAAAAATAGTGTTTTCCAAAACTACATTTTGCCAGAAAGACCAGTTAAGCATCTTACCACAGTTAAGATGAACATTGTAATCAATTCTAATCATAACCCTGTTCTATTGTTTGCCCCGCAAATTGTCATATGCTGACAAATTATCCCTAGAAGAAATCATTAAAGACCTTTTAAGTCAAGGAACAATTAGAAAAAGTGAGTCTCCATATAGTTCTCCCATTGTTTTGGTTAAGAAGCTAACAGGCAAATTACGTTTTTGCATAGATTATAGAGAGTTGAAGAGGCACACATCTTGTGACAATTTCCCGATTCCCCACATTGATGATCAGATAAAGAGACTTCGCGATAAAATGTATTTCATAAAGTTATGCTTTTCACCATGTAGATATTGATCCAGGCTCTGTTCATCTCACTAATTTTGTTACCCCAATAGGTACCTCAAAATGCCATTTGGTTTAAAGAACTCTCCTGCCGTTTTCATGAGGTATATTAACTCTGCATCGTGATATACATTGACGACATAGTCGTTGCCACCGAAAATATCGCGGAAAACATTGAAATTCTGAAAGAAGTGTTTGAAGTTCTTGTCAAAAATAAAGTTTCTCTTAGATAAGTGCAGTTTCGTCGAAGGTTACTCTATAGGTGTTCTGTATCCCATTCCTAAAAGCGACCTCCCTTTTGACACCATTCATTGCGACTATTATGGGCCATTGGAAAAGACTGGTAGAGGTTTCAAATATGTATTCGAAGTCATCGATAGTTTTTCAAAATTTGTTAAATTTTATCCTTGCAAAAGAACAAATGCGTCCGAAACTATAAACTATTTGACAGGCTATTTTTCTAACTACAGTCGACCAAATCGTCTTCTAGCTTACTCCAATAACGAATAAAAACCTTTTCCCGATTTATTACTCTTCCCAATTATGACCTTATGCCAAAAGATTATGTCCAATTATGATTTTGTTTATGTATTATTATGTATTGTTGTATTCTATTATGCTATTATGCTTTCAGATATTATGTTATGATTGTGTACTGCTTTGTGATCTTATGTTAACTTATGTAATGATTATTTACAATTTATGATTACACTACCCTTATGATTATGAATTATGATGCATAATGTGTTATGTCTGAACCGAATTATGTTAGTTATGTTAGGTTAAGACTTAAGATGTAAGTCTGGGACTTATTCAACAGATCAGAGTCGATCTGGTGTCAGAACGGCCGAACTTTGAGGTATATTTATGAATCTCCTGCTTTATTTAAGTTAATTAAGTTGGAAATAGTTGGCAACAATAAAAAAAAAGATGAAGAAGAGCAGAAGAGAGAAAAGTAGATTTTAAGGTTACGTTATAAAGAACGTGAAAATTTGAGAAAAACTGATTTTATTTGCCCACTACGAAGTCATCCTACAAATGTAAATATGAATATAAAATCACGACCACCTAAAATGTAGAACGGCGTGGATAAGAAAAAAATAGATTCTTCTTTTAAAAGTTTAATTAACTCACCTATCTTATCACTCAATAACGTATAAACGTGCTTAGCCCGTTATTAGGCAACTTGACTGGAGGATTTATTACGAAATTCCGTAAATTTATCCATATTAGGCAATAATACACTTAAATTCCCATCTAGTCTGCACGAGAACAAAACCAAAAAGGACGCTAAATGATTTTCTAATGCCTAGTTCAGCTCGAAAATTCGGGAAAACAATACATTTCCAACATTTCTGCAAACCAACTGTAATACTCCCCTTTAAACGTACCCATAATTCCCTCTATCGAACCGGTACTATTAACGACGGCAACAGTGTTGTTGGGTGGGCCGAAAAAATTATTTTTTGAATTCAATTTAGGGGTACCAAAAAAAGTTTCCTTATGCCAAAGGTAGTTTGTAAAAAAAAATTTAGCATACTAGCCCAATATTTAAGGGTCCCCCTGGGGGCCCAAAATATTATTTTTTTATATTTTGTTTGGGGTGGCAACAAAAAGTTACATTATGTTGACAATAATTGTAGAAAAAAAATTAGCGTACTAGCCCAATATTTAAGGGTGCCCCGGGGGCCCAACATTTTTTTTTATATATTAATTGGGGTAGCCACAAAAAGTTACCTTATGACTTTACCTTATGTTAACAATATGTTTACAAAAAAATGTCAAATATTAGAGTTTGACGTAAAAAATTTGGCGGTTTAGCAAATTCTAGGGTTAAAAATGTTTATAAATTTGGAAATGTTTTTTTTTAAATAAAAGAACTAAAAAATATTTATAAGTCAAGCAGACGACTTCTATATAAGGTTCGGCAAGTTTCCCTTTCACACGCAAGCGGTGAAAAAGTTTATGAAGCTTGTAACAGAAGCTGCATTAAAAATTTGCTGTGAGGTACCAAGAAATGGTTATAACCATATATATATAAATGAGCGGACATCTTTACCGGCCTATATGACAACAAGTCTCAATATTATTTAAATAATAAAAAACTGGGTGGGAGAAAGCGTATGGAACTCGAGGAGCAAATATCCAATTAATTAATAATAATAATACGTCATAATAAAAAAAATTATTGCGTAAAACACAAAATTAATTACACAAAAGGCTGCGTTCGTAAGGACGTTCTTCCATACCACCTACTAAGAAATTAAATCTATTTTATTCTGCATATCACATATTAATTAAACTAAATCCTATAATTTTATATCACACCAGTTAATAACATTTTTTTTTACTCTAAATTAAATGTGTTTGGATATTTAAATATTATGTTAAAGAATGTTTTATCGTTCAAAAGTTCTATAGATAGGTCTATAAACGAATCCTTAGATTTTGAAGTTTTGTGACTAGGTATACCTAAATATATTTGAAAAAGATTGTGTCTTAAATCAAGATTGTGTTTATTGGATCTTTGAATAAAGTTGTTGAATAGGTATTCAGGCAATTATTAGGTATTTACTTTCTGAACTAATTTTCCAAAATAATGCTTGTAAGGATCAATTATTTTTAAATGTTTGTTTTCCAAATAGATTGAAGTAATGGGGTCAAATTTTCCGACTAAATATATGAATCTAATACATGAGTTTATTTTTAAATGTTTCAGTATAATATGAGTAGTAGACTGGCATGCAATAGTCTATAATAGGGTGTATATTAACGTTGAAACAATTTTGCACTTGGTGTTAGAATTTAGAACATACTTAAATTAATATAGTGATTTCAGCTTCATATAACACAAACTAAGTTGTCTTGTAACATGGCTTTCAAAGTTCAGGTTTGTATAAAAAATAACACCCAGATTTCTTGCTGTTTCTTGCTGAGGTATTTCTATATTATTTATATGTATTGTATTAAAATTATATTGTTTTTTATTTATCATATATACTGTACCAATATTT